TCTTAACATCTACATCGTATTTTCTCTAAAGTCATAATTATATGTCAAAACAATTGCATATTTTATTACTTACATCTTGTTAAATCTCATAAAGTACCAAGTTGCATTAAAATCTGGTATATGGCAAAATTATTTTACATTATAAAATATTAATCAAATAATAGAAGGAAGAACAAAAAAAACGGATAAACATAGACAGAATATAATATTAAGTACAATAACGCATATTTTATTACACATTATTCTTTAAATTCTAAATATCAGGATAACTACTAATGTTTTTAAAAGATCCTGCAATGGACACTTTTTGGAAAAACAATTGAATATCTCAGGAACTATGAACATTATGAGTTGATAACATATGCGGTTGTATAAACAAATTTAGTTCTATTCATAGTAGGATAAAATATGCAGGAGTTCCATTTAAAAAAATCTACATACTCTCCATTACACCTAAATGAAACACTCTGTATAAGTGAAAATAATTTTACGTAATAGAAAGTGGTGAGTCAAACAACTTTTGTATAAGACATCTTTTTCTTCCTCAAATGGTTTAGCAACTATCGTCCGCCAGGATACTAATAACCAGAGCCACGACGTTTCGGGCTGTTGATGTCACCATCTGTATAGAGCAGCGAACGGGTTATAGCGTAGTAGTAACTTGCTTCTATCGAGCACATCGTTGTGCCGCAACGTAACGATACTGGTTGAATGCTGGCCCATGTAAAATTTGGGGGAGTTCTCAGCGGTGCAGCGTTCAATACGTGTTTGGTCGATTGTCTGACTAAAACTCAACCAGTGGCGTGGTATACTATATGTGGCGTGATGTGGTCCATGTGGCCCGAGTCTCTACCGTAAGGCGACGAGCCGCCAATGAGTTGCCCGACAACGTCGCGGCTCTGCTAATAACTCACCCTGTATATCTTGGTAAGTATCATCTTTATAAAAAAAACATTTTATACAAAAGTTGTTTAATATTTTATTTGCCATAATAAGACAACATTCAATTGTCTTTACTTCAGAAAACAAATGAGCAACGAATAACACTTGAAGTTTTTTAAATGTCAATGTAGCCTTTCGTTAGGCTCATTTGATAGAGATTTTTATTCGTTACTCATTTGTTTTCTGAATTAAAAACAATTGAATGCAGTCTTATTATGGCAAATAAAATATTAAACAACTTTTGCATAAAAAGTTTTTTTATAAAGTCAACATTTACCGAGATATACAGTGTGTCTCATGATAGATGTTACAAAAGGTATAATGACTTAAAAATTTTTGAAATTTATTTTAAGGCTAAGAAATTAAGCCCTGCTGAGAATTTTAAGAATGTTTTCATATTTTATCTGGTATCTTCCGCATTATATGGTTGTAGGATAAATTATTCAATAAAGAATAAAGTTGAAGTATTTATTTATGTTAAGAATAAAATATGCTACAATTTTTGTTCTAAATGTTTTTTTATAACATGCTGCGATTCCCGAGTGTTATCATTAATAACTTATAAAATTACGAATTCATCAACATTCACATTTTTGTATATTTCTCGATATTTATGCATCTGAAAAATTAAAGTTGACTATAGAGGGTCCTTTATGTATGGAATATAGTACACATATCTCGGTAAACATCAACTTTATAAAAAAACTTTTTAAACAAAAGTTGTTTAACATTTTATTTTCCATAATAAAACGGCATTCAATTGTTTTTATTTCAGAAAACAAATGAATAACGAATAATACTTACATTTTGTTAAATAGCAATGTACTCTTTCATTAAGCTAATTTGATAGATTTTTTGTACCAGACAATTTTTCAAAAAGTGTTAAAACTGTTTATTAAGTTAATTTCAGGAATACATACAAAATAAAATAAATAAACCTAAAATTAGTGTACATCTCTTATTAAACCTTGAAGACAAAACGAAATTAACAATAAAATGGTTTTCATGGCAATAAGTGTTCAAAATGATCGCCATTACTGCAAGGCAGTGACCTAACCTATCATGAAAAGCTTGAACAGAATATCTGAGCAATCTGGAAGAAATTGCTGCAGCTTCATCTTGTATTGGAGGCTCTAATTCGACTAGATTCTGAGATCGGTTTGTATACACTTTTGATTTTAAATATCCCCAGAAGAAGAAATCGCAAGATGTAACATCCGGAGATCGCGGAGGTCATTCCACCCTCTTCTGCCTCTCCAACGGGCCGGAAATAACACATCTAAATATCGGCGTAAATCTAAATGATAGTGGGGATAGTACCCCATCTTGTTAAAGCCAAAGATCATCAAGATTTATTTGGCAAGCTGGGATAATTTGTATTGTACCACAAATTCAATTGTTAAAACAACTAAAAGAGATGTCGGATATCTAGATTCATGTTATTGGTGAAATTAACTTAATAAACACTTTTTACATTTTTTTGAAAAATTTAAATATAAATATAAAGGTACCAAAAAATGCGCGTTGAAAAAAATAATATAGATGTCCAAGCCTTTTTTTCTGGAAGAATATCTCCCGAATTTTTATCGAATAGATTCATTACTTTACGTATACAGCATTGCTGATATGTATGCAAACGGTAGGCTATTACCTAATGTAAGATAGCTAGCGAAAAATACTAAGATACAAAAGCTTTAGTGCTTTTTAAAATCTATTACAATAAAGACAAATTAAGTATACAGGGTCAGTGAAACAGTTATGACGAAACAAAGTTACGTTTTATTTAATGGATCTATTTCAGTTCATCTCGAAATTCTAAACAAAATTTATAATATAGCACATCATGAACCAAAACTTAACAGTTTTCGAGATATTGCACTTTGAAAATTACTTTCTTACAATTTACACAAAAATATTTTAGACTAACCCAACCGTATTTTATAGACGGAAATTTCACTGCTGAACGATATTTATTACTATTGCAAGAGCATATTATTACAGAGCTTAGACGACTATTTCCAAACAATAACAATCCCAATTTACCGCCAGAACAAATATGGTTTCAACAAGATGGGGCTCATCCACATTTTGAGCTTGCAGTACAGATATGTTTAGATGAAACATTTCCTGATAAATGGATTGGACCGATATGACCCTGCTTTTGTGGGATCATATAAAAAGTATTGCATACAAATATAGACCGCAAAATATAGAAGAGTTGCAAGAAAGGATACGGTATTCCTCCGAATACCCTTTCAGATTCTTTACAAAATTTTGTTCAACGCGTTCATTACTGTCAGGAAATAAATGGCCAACAGTTTGAGCACCTTATAAAATAGAAGCGTATGAACAGACATATCAAAGTAATGCTTTCTCTTTCTAACACATTACTTTGAAAGAATATGTAAATACACGTACGCGCAAAATGACAACAGATTTTCAGCTCTCGAGAGCTTTAGTATAGTATTAAGCGTGTTGTTTGTCAAGTGCCTCGTGAGCACTTAAAGGTACAATTCTGTGACAGGCGGTAGACTGCAAGCTGCAGGGGACACTTTGGTACATGTACAATTTGTATGTCAAGTGCTACCGCGCTTGGAATTATTGCCAATAAATTATAATGTGGAATTATAATGTGCTTTATGAATTTTGTTTAGAATTTTGAGACGAACAAAAATATGGAATAATACACAGTCTGTTGTTCCATTATAGAAAACGTAGCTTTGTTTGGTCATAACTATTTGATTGACCCTGTATACTTATTGTAATAGATTTTAAAAAACACTCAAACTTTTGTATCTTAACATTTTTCGCTAGCTATCTTCTTTTAGGAAATAACCAACTGTATCCATACATATCAGCGACTCTATGTACAGGATACAGGTTGTTTCTAAATTGATGAGAAAGATTTCAAGGTGTGATTTTTCAGCGAAAATTAAGGGGTGCCTATCATATAACTTTTTGTTCAAAACCTCTTCTCTTCCAACTTTCTTATCTCTTGACATTTTACAGCTAACAAATTGTTAGCTTGATCACAAAAAATAAAATAATGCTGAGATCCAGCAAACATTTATTCAAAAAATCAGAGAACACTCGATTTTTGAGATATCAATTTAAGATTCAGAACATACTTAAGCAATATGATGGAGTATGTTTTGGTGCCAAGAACGGCTGTGTAGAACGTTTGATCACTTTACTCTGGCCCGTTAAGTTTTCGAAATTTGGAAGTACCATAACTTCATTTTTTTAAATGGCACCCCCATATTTTATTACTTAGTCGTCTTCGGTGTCTCATTTTACATCTTTTATATACTATATGTCCTATACCTAACATTAATAAGTTGGCAGATAATTAGGGTTTTTTGAAAAATGAAAGAAACGTCTAATGACCGGTCTGTATACAAACTGTTTCTAAATTGATGCGAAAGATTTCAAGGTGTGATTTTTCAGCGAAAATTACGGGGTGTTTTTCATATAACTTTTTGTTCTTCTCCAAGTTATAGCCTTCTACAGTTAAGGGAAAAAATCTGCAACTTTATCTCTTGACATTTTACAATGAACATTATTTTTACAATTATTAGCGTGATCACAAAAAATTAAATAATGCTGAAATCAATTTGACATAACTTCATTTTTTTGACTAATAATAATCAATTTCTGGATTAATTCACCTGAGCCTGTGTATTATTTTATTTTCTTGTGATCAAACTAACAATTTTAAGAGAAAATGGTAAGAGACAAAAAAGTGGCGTATTGAATCCCTCTATTTAAATCAAGTTTTTAAAGAGATAAACATAGACACATTAAAAAGTTCTGATGCAAAGTATTATAGGAGGTGATTTTTTCACCCACTTGTAATAACATTTTAGGGTTAAAAAAATCGTCAAAAAGTGTTATTTTATTAGCAACAGTTATCTGCCAAATTTCATTCATCATTGATTCTACAGATATTTGGCTGGCATAGGTTGGCAATAACACACACTCTCATCTCCATATTAATCCATTATATGGAGGTCTTACTGTATTAATTGATAAACAAAGAAAAAAATATTTTTATTCACTTTATACTTATCCATCCAAACATGTGCCACTCTTAAAGAATTATACAACATTGTATCTTGACCATCTGGAGATCCATAGGGTCTTCTATGCCTAAAAATGTGACCAATGCGGCTACATGGAATCAGTTCTAATTTTCCCCCACACATCCAAACCTAACAAAAAAAATTATTAATAAATGTAATTAATTTTTAATTTTAAAAATACCCTAAAAGACATTTCAATATTTTCACCACCCCAAATATTCATTCCAGCATCATATTCGCCAATTTCAACAAAATAATTTCTATCAACAGCAAATAAACCTCCAGCCATTGTTGGTGATTTAATAGGTTTAATAAAATCATCACTTTTAGATAAAGTTCCAGTGGGTAAATTTTCCCATTTGAAATGTAAACCCCAATTAAAACCTCCTCTTACTAATGGGCTTGATGAATAAGCAAAAGTGTCTGGATTGATTAAATCAATTATAGGAATGGCTATGTTCGATTTATTCTCAGAAATTCTTGCCAATAAAGGTGGCAACCAATCAACGTTAACTTCAATGTGACTATCTAAAAATACTAAAACGTCTCCTTTAGCTTGTCTAGCTCCAAACATTCTTGCTCTTATTAATCCTTCTCTTTTCTCAGTTTTATACAACTTCACATTGCTTTTAAAAGTTTTATCAATGTAACTTTTTAAATTATCATGTAAATGTTCTATATCACTGAAATCATTCACCAAGATAATTTCTTTTAGATATTTTGGAGTTCTATCTATTATTGAATGAACACTTCGTAGCAATGTTTCAAAATGTTCATTATAAAAACATATAACTACACTTGTTGATGGTAAATTTATTGGGTATGTTATATTTTTACATAATTTATTTCTTGTATCAGGAATGTTTCTGTGTAAACTTAATCTTTTGCTAATTAAAATGTTATAAGCATACAATTTGTATCCTTCGTCTTTAATCTTTTTATCTTGTTTTGTTCTCACCATACCAATTTCACTTGAAACTTACATAATTAAATCAGTTAAAAATGCTGTAATGAAGGAATTAAATATGTATTTGATAACTTACGATCATTTGGAGATTGCTTTGTATACTTCTTATTTGAAATATCATTTATATACTCTTTAAATTCTTTCATTTTTTCTAATGATGCCATTTTAAAGTTATGCACTTTTCCAATGTCCACATTATTATCATCTTCTATTAAATTATGTTTAATAAACAAGTCAGCATATGGTAAACTTGTGGAAAGATTCTTCATTTCATTATTTGTTTGCATAAATTGTAAATATAAATACAGTGAAATAATCCATGTTAACGAGGCGAAGCAAATACCATAAATAAATGATTTATTTATCGATACCATTCTATTTCTTCATTTGATCACAATTTGTTCTTTCAACGTCTTTGTTCTTTAAGGAAATTTTTAGTTTTACATATTTTGATTAGAAATTTTATAGGTTAGAGGTCAACGTCAAGTTGGCAACTTAAAAAAAATTAAAACTTCACGACTTCAAATCCCAAATCCATTAGATCCCTCTAGTTTTATTAATTTAAATTACATTTTAGTAAACGACTTTATTATTTATTTTTATTTCTTATACAATCAAAGAATTGTATTAGTGAAGATGTAAATAAATTAATTGAAATATAACAATGTAGGTTATGTTTATTTTATTCAATGTCAATGTCAGGTGACTAGGATGTACAGTGACGAACAAAAGTCTACATACAGCATTGAATTATGAGGTTTTTGTAAAACATAATAAGATAATAGAAAATTAGTATTAAAGTGTGATTACAATCGCTTAATAGCTACATAATAAAAATTAAACAAACAATGCAAAAACTAACACGACAAAAGTCAACGTAAAGTGCACTTGAGATAAAGAAATCAAGTAGGAGTTGCTTAAAGTTTTTTGAAATTGTCAAAATTGTAAATCTAAACCGAGCAATAGTCCAGACCATCATCAAAAATTATAATGCGACTGATTTATTCGCTAGCAAAGTTCGTACAGGCCGGCCAAAGAAACTTTTTAGAAGAGATATTAGCTCCATATTAAAAGAAGTGAGAAAAGCGAGAAACCTAGAGTAGCACCAACATTAGCTAACCACATCACGACTGTATTTATTAGATACAGTCTGTATATCCAAGAACCCTACAAATAGTTCTACGCGATAATGGATTTTTCAGAAGATCACCCCGAAGAAAAGCGCTGATTTCAGAAAAGAATCGCCATCTTCGACTAGAATTTACTCAATCTCTTGTCGATAAGAGAATGGATTTCTGGTCCAGGGTTTGGTTACTGACGAGTCGAAGTACAACCATTTTGGAAGTGATACCCGTAGATAAGGAGGACATACCAAAGACAGCTATAACAACTCCTTTCGGTCTTTTCGAATTCGCATGTCTTTTGGCCTTCAAAATGCAGCGCAAACATTCCAAAGGTTCATCAATGAAGTACTTTCAGGACTAACCTTCATTTTTGTATCTTTAGACTATATTCTTGTAACAAGTCGGCATGAAGAAGAACACATACTTCATTTAAAACAATTATTTCACAGATTAACTTCCTACAATATCAATATCCAACCCAAAAAATGCATTTTCGGTGTTAAATCATTGGATTTTCTTAGTCATCATGTTTCAGCCGATGGCATTCGACCATTCCAATCAAGAATCACAGCAATAACACATTTTCCAAAGCCAACGACTCTAAAAGAGTTACAAAGATTTTTGGGAATGTTAAACTTTTACCATAGATTTTTACGTAACATTTTAATATTCTTGATCCGTTATACACACTTTCAAAATCACTTTACTATCAAAAACAAAAAACAATTTCATCAACTTCTTGGACACTGCAACACGACAACGCTTTTTCTTCAGCCAAAGATCTTCTATCAAAATCTATCTTTCTAGGAGATCCCTCTTATGATGCATCTAACACCAAAGAAAATCTCAACCATTAGCATTCTTTTCCAAAAAATTTACTTCGTCATTACTTCAAATTCTCTGCTATCAAATTTTTCAAACATTCCTTACATGGAAATCAATTTACGGTATATACAGATCACAACCCATCTTCACATCAATTTTTTCGTCCAGAGACAAAACTCCTCGTCAAACCCGATGACTAAGTTATATTGCACAATTTACTTCAGATATCAAATACATCAGAGGAAATTCAAATGTTGTTGCAGATTCTATCCCAAACAAACATCGGATCTCTAAATTCATCTTATCCAGATTTTCTAACCCTTAGTAACGCTCAACTTGCCGACGCAGAATTGTCAAACTTACTGAACAAGCAATTTTCCAACAATCCTTCAAAATCTTANCTATCCCAAACAAACATCGGATCTCTAAATTCATCTTATCCAGATTTTCTAACCCTTAGTAACGCTCAACTTGCTGACAGAGAATTGTCAAACTTACTGAACAAGCAATTTTCCAACAATCCTTCAAAATCTCATCATTTGGCATATCAAACAACATCACAATCTGATATCAAACTGTGGTGTGAAACCTCTTCATCATCTCCAAGAATTTATATTCCGCAACAGATCAGACAAGCAATTTTTGACAACATTCATAGCTTATCTCATCCCGGAATATGTTCCACCATTCATGCAATCAAAACAAGAGTCTTTTGACCACACATAACAAAGCAAATTCATGTTTGGAGCAAAACCTGCTTAAAATGTCAACAAGCAAAAATCTAAAAACATACAAAATCGCCAATCATCAAAATTCAACATATCGACTTGATTGGACCACTCACACCGGCCCTAGGTTGTACTTATGTACTTACAGTTATCGAACGCTTCACTCGATGGCCAGAAGCTTTTCCGCTGAAAGATATCACATCTTCTACTATAGCGAACACACGCTTCCGGAATTATTTTAGTCGATTTGATATACCTACCACAATAACACATGGTCAGGGACGGCAATTCGAATCAAACCTCTTTTAAAAATTTAACACATTACTTGGCACATGACAAATATACACATCATCTTTCCATCCTCAAGCAAATGGAATGTTAGACCGATTTCATTGATCATTGAAGACGGCTATCATCGCGAAAAGAGACACTACTAGATGGAACAACAATCTACCCCTCATCGTACTAGGACTAAGAACATCACTTAAGGAACCTGGGTTGCTCCTTAGCAGAACTGCTTTACGAGCAACCACTAAGACTTCCTGGAGAGTTCTTCATACCTACTAATCCATCTATTGACTATGAGCCTTTCCTCTCCAGTTTAAGAGACACTTTTTCCAAATTAAAACCTGTGAATACGTCTTTTCACTATATTCAAAAACTTTTTATTCATAAAGACTTGCAGAAATCAAATTTCGTTTTTATTTCGTTATTCAGAAAGGCAATGATAAAATTATTGTTAATATCGATCGCCTTAAGCCCGCGTTTATCTTTAACGAGAGTGTTAAATTTAATAATTCGGAAATAGATAAACATGTGTCATCCTCGAATAGGAAAGTACATTTTAACATATAATCGTTATTTTTTTTATTACTACAACATGTTACTTTCTTCTTATTAATTTCTTTTTCACGGAAGGGGAAGTATTGTAGTGTGTCATGCACCACACAAAGTGTGCCATGTAAAAATTGTTTTCATAAATGATTTGTTATATAATTTACAAAAAAAACAAAGAACAGATTGTTAAATAAATAATCCATGAACAACATTTAAAATGTGGTAGAATCAAATTAATTTTTAAAAATTCAATAAATATTGTACATGATTTCGTACATAGGGATATTATTACTGGGAGCAGGTCTTCTAAGCCTTTTTGCGGAAAAATAGACAATTCCATCTCCTCCAGGCGATTTCAGCGGCTTGAAATGAGCATATTGCTTAAACCCGTAAATGGTAGTTCTAGTCACTTTCTCTATCCATTGCTAGAGTTGGTGTTGTGCTTATCGCAGTATTTATATGTAATGTTAGTAATGTATCTCTCTATAAGTACGAAGTCTTTCACGGCCGGTATTAATTAAACTAAAACTAACATTAGCACTAGAACTAACACTAGACCTAGAAACTTTCGGGTTAAGCCCGTGCGTTTTTTGAAAAAATGTTCGACGTTTTGTATGCCATGTTGCAACCTTCTTCAGAAACAAGTTTGAAGTGACGAATTCGGTTAAAATTTGACAATAAATACATGAAAAGGTAATTAATAATTAATTTAGTGTCTAATTGTCAACTAAGTTGTTTTTGTCAAATCCGGGTTAGAAGGCTTCGTTGAGTTTACTAGAATCTTCCAGGTGCGGCTAAGTTCCCAACCATCTTCTCTATTCATGTTATGCCCATGTCGATGAATCTCCATCGCCTCTCTCGCATCTTTGGAAGTAATGTCCGTTTCTTGCTAGCACTTTGATTTTGTCGAACTCTATGCTATGTCCTTTGTGGCAATACTCTGCAACTGCACGATAGCCGGTAGACTCCCGCACCCTTTAATGGGGTTAGTTTGTCTTTGGCTATCGGAAGAGCGTTTTGTATTTTGCTGATCGTACCGTATCTCGCAATTCGCTCCGTCACACCTGAAACATAAGAAAGGCAGATAAAACCGGCTGGTGTCGTACTTACCGAGTCATCCTTCTGTTTGCGTGGTTTGGTGGCTCGTCGGATATCTCTCATCGTGTAGTCGTTCTTCTGCAGCACATCGTCTAGGAATCTTTCTTCTTTTCTTAGGTTCTCTTTATCGCATATCCTCTCTGCTCGCTGGAATAAGGCTAGAATCACGGACCTCTTCTGTTGTGGGTGGTGGTGGGATGAAGCCTGCAAGTACCTCTTCGTATGTGTCTTCTTTCGATATACTCCCACTTCAATGCCGCCATCTGTCTTCCTAGTGACTAACACATCCAGGAATGGCCAGAAAGGAATCCAGAAATTTTCGGACGTAATTGTGTCGTTTAAAAAGTTAGTGCATGAGTAGTAGGCCCGCTCAACCAAGAATTTATGAAGACAGTTCCATAGAGATTTAAGAGGCAATCCGCCGACAGTGAGTTGCAGTTTATTAAAAAAACTGAACAGCAACAATATTCACACTTTGGTGATCCTTTGATAATCTGGAATGTTTAGGTATGAGGCGCTCATTGTTTCTAGTGTGGTGGTTATGGACTTCACCATGTGACAAAGTGCTGACTTTGTACCTTAATGTAGAGTATGCAGTGGTATATACAGGATGTCCCGAAACTCAACATCAAGCGGACACCGGGTGAGAGGCCAACCCATACCTGTTCTGATAAAAATAAGAAAAAAATTCAATGTCTCTTAGTTAAGTGGTAATAGACATATTTTTGAAAATGTTAAAAATCGTTCCCGTACATCATATCTTTAGGTACTACGGTCAGAAATGTTCGCAGAAATGAACCATCTTGTCGAAACTCCATCTTGTTGACACCGCATTTTGTAATAAATGTAACCAAAATGGGCGATGAATGGTTTTATTAATGTTTCGGTGCTACAATGTTTCG